ATTCAGCGGTAAGGACAATCCCGGATGGTGTCTGCAAGATTGTTGCGGAAACAATGATATCAGTAAAACCTAACCACTGGGTTAGGTTCCCATGGTCAAATGTGAATTAATCAAGTTAGTTGTATTGGTGTGTGGAATGTGGTAATCTTTCTTGAGAGAAAATATCCGGGTTTCCTGATCCGAACGACACCCGAAAAGCTAAGCCAAACTCGGTCTGTCGAACTTCCACTGGGGTCGCCGAAAAATTTGCACACCGCCGTGGCTATACTAGCTCTGACTGAAGTGTTTCTGCTGAAGTCAGTATATGAAGGCCCAAGGCCCGAAGCATGTTTGCGAATTTGGGTGACATGTGGCTCTGAAAAGGCATTTCATTGCGCCACAACGGCTGCGTGTACCGGGCTACAGTAGGTGCTGCCTTTTTGCATGATTGTGAGGCATGGACGCTGTGAATAGATGACGTGAGGCGATATCAGGTTGTAGACTTGCGAACACAGGAATATTGGTGGTGTTGAATGATGTCAGCATTTTTCTAAGTTATGAAATGGTGCGTTGCGTATTTCACTCGTGGAAAATGTGGTTCACTGTCAACTGTGTTGGATCGGACGTGTGGTAGGCCTTCTAAACCATCGTCCAAAGAGACGCGCATCTATCTCAAAACTTACGTGAGTATGGAGCGAACCGCAAGATCGACATATATGTGACTGAACCGAAGGGTGTGAAATGGAATGCGAAGAGTCCAGGTCCGCCTGCGCTAAGTTTGATCCTCTTAGAAAATCAAAGCTAATCGCTCTCAGTGGCATTTGTTCTCCCGGTTTCTTTTCAGGTTGTCTGACTGAGCGTATGTCTGAAATATGCTACTACTAGGTCCCATTTTATTCAATCTTCTTTTCTCATTTTGAGGATTTAAATATGACCAGACCAAATTTCTGCTCTTACAAAAGTGAGGTATGAGTGTCAACACTAGTTCTACTGCCTTCGATGGAGATAAGGATGATGACAAATGAACCAGACAGCCATTGATGTATGTGTGAATGCACTCCGGTTGAAATTCTGTTCAAAATTATGCGGAACCCTAGCTATAATAACAATACGTTTTTGCCCAAAAACTGCTCACCTGAGAAGCATTTATGTACAACTGTTTACCCCGCGGTACACAGTTTTCCACTAATAATTTTACCTGGTTGAGTGAACTACGTTCGTATGGGAAAATTTTAGAAAAACGCAAATACCCATTTGGGGACAAGTAACCTGGATCAATTCGATAACTGTTAAAACGTGTCAATAACAATTTGTGACCTCTCCCAGTTCCAGGACTTATTCATTAGGGGGTATCTGGAGTTACTAAGACAGCTTGAATGTGAACACCGATCCTGATCGTCGAATGCCACGAGATGACACACCCAGGATGCACCATGACGTACGACCTACTTCGGCAGAGAAACTAATGACTCTCGATGAGAAGTGAGGTGATGGATTATATGGTATCCAACTGATGACAGGGGATTCGGCAGGGTAACCCACCCCGTACTTCGGCAAACTAATGACTCTCGATGAGAAGTGAGGTGATGGATTATATGGTATCCAACTGATGACAGGGGATTCGGCAGGGTAACCCACCCCGTGCAACCCATTCCTGATTCAGAAACTGGTGAGTTAAAGTTAAAGTTATGGGCTCCTTTCCAGTGACGACCAACGGAAATCAATATATGGTGATAATGACAGAACATCTGTTGCAATGAGTTGGGGCGGTAGCTGTTTCAGATCAACTAGCGATGACAATCAGTGGAGCGGTGAGGCATCACATCGTGACCAACCATGGGGTGCCAAAAATGATCCTAACCGATCAGGGGCCTTGCTTCAAGAGCGAAGAGTTTAAGAATTGCTTGCAGAAGCTGAGAATTAAGCGGCTTGGAGCGGCACCATACCACCAGCAAACAAATGATCTAACCGAACTTGATAACCGAGCGATCAAGGAGTAGCTGGCGACCAAAGGAGATGACGGGGAAGTTAGCTTGCCAGTGGTGTTGCTAGCTAATCGTGCTTCCACGCAGCCAACCACAGGCAAGTCCCTGTTCACGCTGATGTACGGTCGACATCCGCGCCTTCCGGTTGATCATGAAATTGGTTTGTGGCCGGCAAAACGCTTGTCCCCGGAGGAGTTTTGAGAGGAACGAAGGAAAGCTCGAGAAAACATGTTGGCCGTTCAGGCGTCTAGGTCAAGTGGAAGAATCATCAAAATCCTGGAAGGAGTGGACTGGGGCCGCGGAGGCTGGGTAGACGATGCTAAGGCCCTTTTGTTGCTATCAGCCATCGTGGAAACGTCTATACTATTCAAGACGGTCGGGGATTGAAAACGTTAAACAGGACTCAGCTTCAGAAGTGGCACGATACACCCAAAGAGTCACCGAATAGACCAACTGCTTCGGCCAACCTAACAGAGGCAAATGAAAATCGTTAGCATGCGAGCGACCTTCAAGGGGCTAAGTTGTGTAACGGTGGATACCGTTGGTGAGGCACGCGAGCAATACGTTTTTTCGTAATTCCGCATGACGTCCTTCTTCCCTTCATTGGTAGCTGGTGGCCGCAAGAAGGCAACAATAAAATATTGATGCACGTTGCATACAAGCTAGGGGAACTTCAGTTTAGTTGATTGTACCAAGTGCTTTCCCAGTTTAGCCATTTGGAGGCCAACTGATCTCGAACCAGCCTCCTACAAATACAACTGCCTGCTGTTCGGTTATATTTTGACTGTTCATGAAAGCAACCCTATTTGGGGGCAAATCTTATCTTTACCTAAGTTTGTTTTACTTTTGTTCCAGGTAGTAGGAAACTCAGTAAAATAGTCAGGAATGATATGGTTGTTTGTTTGCTTACCGGAAAAATTATGTAGGTTATTCTTTCATTCTGGAACGGAAAGAAGCTGCAATAAATGCTTACAACGTGAGCAAGACTGGAACTGCGGACAGCATAGAGCGTGCAAAACCGGGTTCAGGCTTGAATCAATCAATGTTGGATTTTAGGTAAGAAAACAAGAAACGCATACAAGTGACAAAACACCCGAAGCCGTATTTCACATAATAAGTTGTAAATCCACATTTTATTCCCAGAACCGTTACCCGCTAACAATTGTGAAGGTTGAGTTAGGCCGACAGCCCATTCAGATATTTACCAGGATGTCTACAGAAGCAATATCGGCATATGCGAAGCAGTTTCATGTTCGTGATCACATTAGGTGGAATTGTCAGTCTGAAGGTGTCGACGATGATCCCGTGACAGAACCTTGTACTACAAGGAGATATCTCCCAACATTTGCTCATGAATCGTTCAGCAGCGTAGAATTACTGCATTTTATATTCGACCTTGTTTGACCAACCATTTTCTTGTGTCCAACACGGACTGAGCGCACAAGCTCCACATCCTGAGAAGGGTTAGAACGGTTCGACTAGTTTTGTTCGACGGAGTGACACCTAACCTCTTTACGCTTGAGGGATCAATGTTCTTGCTTGCATTGAAATACTGCCTGTTTACCCACTTTCCTCATGTTGAGCTGAGGCATATTCGTTCAAAATGCCATCCATCCAGCACTTAATGAAATGAACGGAACAAGAGGTTCCGTAGATTTAGGGGACTCTTGTCAATCATTATTATATTTGAATCGAGGACATTTCAAGCCTGAACTGGAAAATTGGTCGTTTTGTGCACAGAAAGATCATTTCGCTCGTGGTTAAGCAATGTGTTCCCGTTGATGTACACGTTTTGCCAAATAGACAGACAAATCACTGATTCTTTCTGAATTTTTTCATGCTACAACACGGAGCTGCAAAACATAAGATGTGGAATCAAGGAAATCACAGAACAGGGACAAAATCGGAGTGGTCGTGGTCGAATAACAAGAGAGAGCAGCCGTGATCAGACATACAAATTTCATGATATCAAGTATTTAAAAGTAACTTAAAAAGGTACATGGATTCTCTACTATCGGAAAAATTGATTATTGAATGAGATATTTATAATAAACTTCCTGATGATGTTTGAAATCAGGTCTGATGGACGAGACAATATGGATGGCAGGAGCCGCGTGAGTTGTGACAAGCTAGATTGCTTCATCTTAGACGCGATGTTGGCGATAGTGATTTGGAATGCCTCAGAAGGCGCCATGTGCAGTGTTCGTCGCACTTTGTATAGCACTTTGTTGACTGGTCAGTCTACGATTTCGATAGTATTTACACACTACTTTGCCCATCATCTACCGCATTCCAGTTCTCTTTCCAAGTTTTGTGCTGACGTAATTGTTCACTTATTTGCTTGTTTCAATGAGTGTGATTTAACTTTATTTTGACAACTTTAGGACAATATAACGGTTTCGCTAGGTAGAACCTTGAAGCCCAGTTTTAGTTTTCCTTAAAGAGATCTCACTATTATGCCATAGTTTTATAAAGGAAATCTTTACCAGTGACTAACCACTCAATCAAACAGGCTGTTGGTCTACCGATTGCAAAAAAACAAATGACTAGTGAATAGTAACTGGCACTGATCATACAGCAGAGAGCGATATGAAACTTTAAAGTTGCCCGTCGAGTCAGCCATACTGTCAGCTTTGATGGGGTGGGCTATTATGTTCCGGATGTTAGAATTTATGGTATTCGTTGAAGTTGCCGTAACTCTGATTGTTGTCACCCACAGTTTCTGCTTTACCTGTCAATATCAGACAAGTAGTTTGCTGACTATATATAGCCCAACAAGGATGAAAAGAAGTAAATTTCCACAGTACTCGTGTTAAAATACCCGAATGGTTTGAACTTCACAATGACGGTCTTATCTATGACATTCACGTGTTCGTTTGGCTTTTTTCGAGTTCTTCGAAAGAAAAACGACCGACACATCACTCATCATTTATAAATATAGATTCATCTCCGCTCGTCATGTGAGCGTTTCTCCCAATTTGAAAATACAGATGAATCAGAAGTTCTTTAAATTTGATTGACAAATTTCAAGTTCATCTACTTGATTACGGGAATACACTGTCTGGTATTGAACAGCTGTCCTATGTCACGTCGAAAGTTTGGGTTCATGAAACCATAAACAATAGGGTTAATGGCGTTATTTACATAGTACACATAGAAAATGGGCAGATACAATGGTATCAGATTGTGTATCATCATCATCGCTGGCAGCATTGTAACAATGTAGCACAGGGCCACCACGAATAGCATAGCTGCTGTCTTGAGATTTTGAAAGTTTGTTGTGTCCACTAGGCTTTTCACTGACTTCAATGAGCGCCTGTCCATAAAGGCTGGTGTTCTCGATCGACTTTCAGAGTCTGTAAAATGTATTGTTAGTCGCGGGTGTGATGAGAATCCTGTCTGCTCCCTAGATAACTCATCGTTTACTGGTTTTCCGTCATAACTCCGGATTTGGTGCCCGTTTTCTGTGTTCTCTGTGCGTATTAAATACTGCTCATTCAATTGGAGTGTCCCTTCAGATTCGCATGACCGCAAGTTTGAGTGTTGTTGTATTTCTCTAGGTTCTTCGCGGTGGTCACAGGGACCACAGTCTTCAACAATGCTCACATGTGATGTATCTCTCTTGACAACTTGTGTAACCGGGTAGTTTTCCATCCGATCAATTGGCATCCCAGTAGTGTTGCTTACCAAACAGTTTGTCGGTTCAATGGTCGTCAGTACCAGGTGAGTGGATTTTTGCCGTGAACCGCGCAGTTGTTTCCTCTTCTTGAAAGTCTAAAAACGAGGCAAATACAAGAGAAGTCTGTGTAACGTTATATTTTCTATACCATGGAACATTTTCAAAAAGAAACAGTGACCTCACTAAACATATGACCGTATTCAGAAAATCACTGACACAGGAGCATTTCTGTCAATGGCTTGGAAAAGTCGGTTACCCATTTCTGATGCTTGTGCTTATTAGTCCAGGAAAGTTGTTAGGATTTTAACGAGTCAGTAACGTGCTTAGGCATGTACCGAGTCACGACGAATTTTTGTGACTTGGTTAGGAAGATGTGGTATGTTTGTAACCAGATCAAGCAAGTCGCGCTACGGAAGTTATAAGCATCTACCAGTTTCATTCTTACCTTTCATTTCTTACCTTTGGTATATTGAAATGTTATAGCATTTCAACAGAAGACGCACACACGCGCTTCTGGAGATGAGATGGACAGTCGACAGACGACTAAAACAAAATAAAAGGATTATTCTTATGTTCTAAATTAGTGTGGGTATCGTTGACATCCTTGGGGCAAAAGGGGAAAATTAATTTAATGCTGTCTTTGTACTTTATCAGTTAAAATTAACCCTGAAAGTGGATTAAGTCATGCTTATCCCATGGAGCATTTCTAGTATGATGAACAAGACCAGGTTTACTGAACGATGAAATCCGATCAAAGTGACACCACAGATGTTTAAAATATAAAATTAAATGTTAGAAGATTCGTATTGTAGCAGCTTCGAAAAAGAACGTCTGGAAATTTTTAGCCCACCAAAGGCTCATCACACTGAGACAGAAATCTTATGGTCTAAGGAACACACCCAGAAGTAGACCTGGCCTAGAGGTCCACCAAATATTCAAATCTTGGTTGTGGCCATGCATCGTATTTTTTAGAATGGGGGTTTTGGTATATCTTCTATTTTTAGTAGGGGTTATTGGCGTCTTATTATTATCAGTAACAATGTGCTTGCTCGTTAAAAATAACATGTCAGTCACAGAACAGAATTGATCAGTACATTAGGTAAGTTGCCGGGGTCAATGTGGGCACTGAATGGAACCGAAATTGAAAGGGTGTACCACCGAAATATTGATTCCGTGGTTGTTGATATGTTCACTGACACTTGCCTGTATATCGACACCACTCAAGCAGAGGTCTTCGGTGCGAAGATTGATGTCCACGTTGACTAGCTTGTTGTCTCTCTGATCGATTTAGCCCTTTAAATAGTGCCCAAACGTTTCCAAATGAATTTCCATGTTCTGCAAACACATCGGTTTTGGTCGGCTTATCAGCCTGTTATATCTAGAGGATCCTGGGCATAGTTATGGTCTAATATATGGTAACTATTTCCGGTTTTTGAATGGCACACAAAACTCCCAGCCAAACCATTTCGGATTTCACCGGAAGCCTAAAGAATAGGCACTATGATCATGTCAAACGGCCAAGCGCGCTGTTTATAACGTGAGCGATAATGAGGAGAGTTAGATGGAGGATACTTGATATGTGACATTACGTAGGCAGATGGCACAGTGAGTAACGACGCAAACACAAAGGTGAATGTTCAAAGTCTGGACAACTACAGCAGCTTTCAAAAGTTCAGATGAGTGTCTGTTTTAAACTCGATGAATCCATCTGCTTAGGGGGTGCCAAAAAAGTCACGTTCCTAGTCATTTACATCCGCAATTGGAGCATCCGCGTATGGCAACGCTTAATTGGGAACTCTTGCCCATAAAATAGGTTTTTAGAATGTCCCTTCGGTGGAAACACATGATCATAGGCAACATACGGGTTTCTAAAAGGCGATCGGCTCCAGAACATGAAATATTCTTATAATCAATAAAAACAATTGAATCATGTGTGATAGTAGCTTTAGCGGTGCTCTCGGTTGAGTTTTCTTTTTCTGCCTGCCCAAAGTCCATCTTTTCTTGTACAAGTAGCCTACTCGTTGTCACCAAAACACAAGCGTGTTTTTCTTTCCAGAATAAATTCTAGCAACCAGGTGAAATATCGCACATCCCTTCTACTCTATTAGGGTAAACGATTTGAATGACTTGGACGGAATCAAGAGGTTCCGAAGATATGTTTCAGTAAACTATGTGAACTCTTATTGAATGACCAGTTGATAAAGCCATCTTCTCTCTACGGACAGAGGCCAGGTGCGTAATCGCCCGAGATATTTTGATAGAGTGAGCAGTATATAACGGTCAAAGCGTCCGTCTAAATATCATATGTGTGATGTAAGTAGCAGAATGGAATCAATTTTCCCCGAGGATAACTGATATTATAGTATTAAGTAATGCGCTAGAAAGCTGCAAAACGATTGTTCAGTACATCATCCGACCCACTTTTACGCCGCCAACACTTAACAATACAACTTTTGATTGAATTTCCGTGTTCTAACAAGTGTTTTTTGCTGACAAAACTGCCGGCAACAAAAGCGGGCTATTCTTACTGTTCTGGGTTTCGTTTACCAGGGAGGTAACCATATTTCGGACAAGAAATGCCAATCAGCGATGCGCAGAACGGCGCAGCTGATAACGACACTGACATTTCTACAAGAATCAATATTCCTCGGCTACGGATTCAGAAACAGTATGAAAATCTAACGCGCCCTGTGTGCTTCAATGGATGATATGTGGGCAACCGAAACCTGGCTAGTTCGGTGTCTAGAGTACATAATTTCGTACACCTATTGTTAAGACACAGCATCATCCAAGAAACTGTTTCCTTCTCAAGTGATATTCTTCTCAATTTGGAACAATGAAGCTTGTTTCGCACACGTCTTTTGAAGGATCTGCATCACCGGGCCGGGCATGTCCATATTTGCGTAGTGAAGAAAATTGTGCCTCGAAAACAGTCGTCGTTAAATGCTTCACTGAGTTAGTCTGCGATGTAATGGATTGCAAGATTTTTGTTAGACGTTTGATCCTATGTGTTAATTTTGCTTGGCCCACTGCATGCAAGTTTGCTTTGCCGAAAACGCCTAACAGGAATTGTGAGGGCTGTGTCATTTTGTTCTTACGCGGTCAGATGAAATCATTCTCCTAGTTCAACTCACAAGGGAATTTCATCCTTTTCGGGTACGTAATTGAAATCAATCTAGCAAACGTTCCTCCTTCGGATATTTTAACAATTCCAAAGAGGTAGAAGATGCATACGTCACTCACAGACTGTATTGTAAAGACCAGTAAATTTGTTGTTTAATTGCAAAGAAGCACGCTAGTGTGCATCGGTCGCAGGCTTAGCTTCTATGCATGCATTAGAAGAAAATATCGAGTTTGAACACGTATTGCCGGTGGCTAGTGTAACGAGTCTCTAACGCGACCGTTTTTTCCCGTAAAGTTTTACGCTGCATCTGCTTAGTGAACTCAAGTGAATGAATGTGCACATATCTATTCATTCACTTGTCCATGTATAAATTTGTATGCTTATGGAAGTTTCAACAGCTCGGGCGAGAGTGTTTCTGAAGGCACGCATCGATTAACTTTCGGCTATTTCTTTTTTATTCCGCTAAAGTCCTGGGCAACTTGTCTTCGGGTTGCGTCCCGGTCTTTAGAGTATTGCTTGACAGACAATCTCGAATTAATTTTGTGGACTGACTAGTTTACAAAACCTGGTGGCTCATTCAGGAAGTGAGCCAATGACTACTGATCAGTTAAAAAGGGTGGAATTATCTAATACTAAAGTTCATGGAAATAATTAACCCACTAAATGGGAGGGTTTGTCGTACAGTTAAGTTTGCATGTCTTTTTGGAAAACGTTTGTTTAAAGCCTGCAGATCAAGCACGTTTTTGACATGACTCTATGTAATAAAACACTTTTCTTGTAGCATTACCATTTCCCAAAAGAGGATGTACGTCACACATTCATTTTAAAGTATGTCATGTCGTCTAGATCGTATACAAATAGCGCTTCAGGTCTTGAAAACATTGTTCTTTATGCTGTTATGAACTAGATTGATTTGTTCTCACTAGTATCCGGTCAAATACCAATAAATATGAACGCACACATTGACGCCATGATAGCCATGTTTAGCTTGCTTCTAAGAGATAAGGTCTACGGGAAAGATGCAAACTAACAACTTCAGAGATGGATGAACTTGATGTATTTTCTGGAATTTCTACACCTTCAGCAGCCTAAATGTAGACAAATCTACTATACATCATATGTAACAACACAAGCCCATATCTATGGGTATGTGGGCTCAAATTCTTTTCCCCCATAAAACAGCATTATTAACTATGTTTTATCAGAAGGCTAGTTCCTGGATTAAGAATTCAATCAAACCACCTCTAAGAGGACAGTTTTATCCAAAAATCGCTGACGGGGTTTATCTTGTTTTGACATTTTGTCAAACAAAACGGATACGCAGTTAATATCCTTCCGCTGGTTAAAAGCATTTGACGACTAATCGAAACAATTGTTTCATCTACATGTTTATGCTGACATGAAAATAAAACAAGGCATACGGGTCAAAAACACGACGTATTGTCGGTTGCGCAATCAAGTAACCTAAAATTTGCCGATTGCGCATTTCCCAGTAGGTTAGATCCTGCGGAATAAATATACTTCAGTAATTTTATCAGCCTGTTTTGTGAGCTGAATCGCATCAACAGCACAAAATACTGAATAGTCACATTGTATGATTTTCCGATGAATCCTCATAGCCTAGACTATACCGGCCTAATTAATTTTGATTTTTTGCTTGAAAGACTGCTTACTGTGTGCGACGCCCTGCTATGATTGCCAAATATCTACCTGCAAATTTATTTCGCTCAAATTGTGAGTGTCTTAAAAAATCAGGGAATGCAGTATAGTTTGTGTCAAATATTCTATGGCTACAAAGAATCGGTCCAAGTTTTAGCTTTCCTGTGATTGAGTCTTGATGAAGCTTAGCAACTTAATTCTATTTTGGCGCGCGTTTTACGTTAACGTGCTTTATAAATTCATGCAGCGATTGTATCGTTCGGTGATGTGTTTAACTGTGAGTGACTGGATGACACGACAAAATAATGTCAG